TGAGCAAGGAATGTACCACATATTGGCACATATTGGGGTTGCTCAGTGGGTAGGACTTCGAACTCCAAACCGGTTGGTCCCGAATTCAAGCCCCAGTCCAAGTAACTCGCCTTTTTTCCTTCTGAGGTTAATAAATGAGTTATCACTCTGCAGGAAAGAAACAGCTGATTACACGCTACGTATGCTGCATGGCTGTGGTCTCTACCTTAAAAGAATGAGGTACCCTTGGTTGATGACACAAAAGCGAAAATGTGCACCGCATCATCAACTTCCTGAGAACAGAGGCGTCAAAAATGGCTCAGTCATGAAATTGACGGAAGTGTGACATTCCAACGTTAATCAACTTCCCTTTCGTTTTCCGCTGCTTATAAATTCCTTCTATTTATTTTTACAGTATGTTTGTCAACTACGCAAAAATTCTGTCTCTCAATAAAAGATCGCGTAAAAGCTTTTAATTTACACCTTTTATTGTTTTAATAAGTCTGCAGCAAAACAAGTGCATGACGACACTAAAATCACGTAATTCAAGACCCCGGAAGCAACGTCGATTTCAACCAGCGGGAAGCTTCATTTTCATCCGTGAAACCGTTGGTATTCTGTTCCGGGTTATTCGCTTGGAAGAAAGTTTGGACGCAAGCTTCGCTTCATTCAAATGGAAGAAGAAAAACATTTTGTATGACATTCGATGCCGCTATTCCTTGTCTCTCAGTAATGAGTAACTAAACTCTGGTTTCCACTTCTTCACATGCTCTTGTTTTTGTTCATGCACTTAAAAACCTAGTTAAACGGTCCGTTTCATGACTGTAATAAACAAACTACTTTCATCCCTAGATTGAGTTTTACAGAGATTTCCACCAGAACAGAGGATTTTCACTATTAAAAGCATTAGATTATGAATCTGCATTGGCTGAACTGCTCCGCTTGATCACTCACTGAGAGTTCAACTCATAAGTGAAGCCGTTGCGTGCTCGTGTGGCAATAAAAATTATTTACATGGCTCGAAATGAGTAAAATCCCTTGAGAACTGTTTCCTTCGTATTCAGTCGATTAAGTTCGTCTACTATCTTCAAAATGACAATTAAGATATAGCGGAAATCTGTCCGTCCTCGATCAGGTGATTGTAAGGAAATTTTGACATTGTCGCCTATTCCTACTGACCTCAATCAGCTGTTTGACTCATTAATCTTGTTTCCTGCCTTCCTCGAAAGACTTATTTTGGGGATTTTTGATGTTGCAAAAAAATACTGCATTGTCATGAAAAGTGCACAAAAATTCTGCCTCTCATTATAGTCATGTTGCCACAATACGCTCTGTAGAATCACTTATTGCACTGGCTACCACAGTAGAACCTTTCATCACCTTCTCCACAGACTGGAAAGATAGAAAGGTCTGAGGGACGTCCAGTTTCACGACGATGCTGTAGGAATAATAAATTTTCGCGTTTAGGGATCAATTAAAAGCGACTGTGCTGAGCAGTTCAAAAATATGCAAATCCTTTACTGCATGGCTTTTATGATAGTACGATGTCGTAATTCACTGAGTGTTTCTTCCTGTAGTAATGAATAAATTTCTTGAACAAAAGTTTAAGTGAAGCTTGCATCTATAACTTGCGATCAAGCGAATGGATATGGTGGCATCACCAAAGAACTCTTGTATTTAGCTATGAAAACCGCACATGTCACAGCTTGGCATATACCATGTATTCAGATTTTTTAATTGGGTTCAAGAACTGGTGTGATCATTGCCTTTCTTCCTTCCA